CACTTGGTCACAACCCGAAGTTTTCCAGGTACGTGCTCTGCTCATGGCATATTGGGCACTGTATTCAATCTTGCTTAGCAGTTCCCTTAGCGCTCTTGGGTGGTCTTCCCCTCTTCTTTGCTGGGGGCTTACAGTGGCCTTGGCTGTGGTTACTGAATCAAGTTCTAATTGGCCCCATGATGTTTTTTGGAAGACCATCCGGTTTGCCCACCACTTGAATGAAGGAGTCCCCTGCCTCGTTCGTCCACATGTTCTCCACACGGATAAATACATCTTCTGAAATGTCAAAATTGTCCCGATAGGTTACAATCGCTTTCATCTCATCCCTCGGAGGCCATTCAACTTCTGCGTTGATTGGGAACAGATGGAGGACCCCAGAGTCGATAAGGTTATTTATTTTTTGAAGCCTTTGGACAGTGTTAAGGGCCTCAGCCTCCGACACTATTTGACGCTAGTTGTTGAGGTTGCACCTTCAAAGAAGAAAATGAAAGGACCAGTTGGACAAAAAGACGTTCGAAATAAGAGCTTAATTTATCCTGACAAAGATATTTTATTACGTACTTGGAGTTTTCGACCGTTTCAGAGTGGTCCAGCAAAAGGGTGCACAAGGACTTGCCCTTCGGTGGCAATTGCGCTTCGCAGGGGCCAGGAAGTCGGCATCTGCATGTCCTGGAGGATGAAGGCCTCGATGAACTTGATGTCCACCAGGGTGCCGTCCGGCCGCTCCAGAAGATACTTGAGCAGCGCGTTGCGGAAGGCCTTGAGCAGATGTGGGGGTCGAGGATGGTGTATATCTTCTCCCCCAGCACGAAGTTGAAGGGCCTCTCGTAGGTCGCCCCCATCATCTGCTCCGCCGTCAAGTTCTTCTGAAGGGCGTCCGTCACCAAGGCCCTCACCTCCAAGCCGGCCTCGATGAGGGTCTTCATGGCCTTGTGGAAGATGGACCGCAAACTCCTCCCCGGTAGTCGTCTTGGAAGTGTATCAGAAGGCGATCGGCATCTTCTTGGACGGGGCGAACCATGCAGACAAGACTTTCTCTGCCAGGTCGGGCCTCCGGTCGCCGTGGTCCGCGAAGCCAGCCACCTTCTTGAGCAGCGACAGGTAGACCCGCAGAGAAATCTCGTCAAACATGACGAGGCAGGCGTGGTCCGCTTCAGGCATGACCCTCTTCTTGACCACCTCCAGGATCTTGGGATTGATGCCGGGGGACAGGGTCAGCCTCTTCCACGGCGCCTTGCAAGTCTTAAGGGACGGCTTCGTTAGGGGGAACCCTCGGAACACTCGCGGCCCCCGTTGCCGCATGGACTCTAAGTCAGGCAGCTCTTCCTTGGTCCAGCGCCGCGCCCGCGGCTTTTTGGTTGCGCTCGAGTAACTCTCTGTTTTAGCGGTTGGTTGGAAAAAAAGTCTGAATCAGATAAGTGAACTGCGTCTTTCACGGACGGGCCGCCACCCTCGAGCACCGCGGCACAACTGTTACTCTTATACTGTGCGTATCTTCACGAATAATTTAGATGTGTTCCGAACTTTCCGATGCGTTGCCGGGCTACCGTTTTAGGCTTATTTTAAAAATGACACTTCACCCTGCGCAAGTTTGCCACCACTCAAACACCCTACCTTCCACACCAAGCCGCACTGCGCCCGCAATACACTCTTGAAGCACTTGTTGCACTCTTGTAACACAATTCAATCCGAGGGGTGAATCACTAGTGTACTCATGTGTACAAATTTGCCCGTACTCAGTGTACTCAAAAGTTTTAAAAGGGTGAAATTCTCTAGTTTTTCGACTGATTTAACGTCGACTGCCGTTAAAAACGCTAAACAAAGCCTTAAAACGTTTAAAATTGTGAAATTTCTGAGTAAAGCAAGGTGTACTCACCCGTACTCATGTACTCATGTGTACACCAGAACGCCGAGTGATTCACCCCTCGATTCAATCGCTGCATTCATTAACACGCCCACATAACCTCATAAACATGTGCTGACGCGATGACAGACAAAAAAACGGGTTGGCACCTCTGGAGTCTTTTCAGAAGTGCCAACCTCCGGAAAAAGCAGCGCCGGTTGCGCACCTCGGGGCGCAGGAGCTTGAAGAAGCGCGGCGACACTTTTGAGGACAGAACCCTCGTCATCTTGAGCCGCTGCACTTCTTCGCACTTCTTGAGGTACTTGCGGCGCATCGTAGTTGCCTCATTCCTCGCGCGCCAGGCCGTCCTGGAAAATATTCACCGCGTCCTGGGAATATTTTACTGTTTCCAGGGTCCGCCCTGGGAAATGACGAACTCTCCTGAGAATTGATCACTGTTCCTGGGTATCCCAGGAGCCAGATTTACTGGGCAGTCTTCTTAGTGGACTTAGCCGGTGGCAGTTTGTTCATGTCATGTGAATGAAGTGAGACTTTGAAAAATGATAATAAAGCGTACTCGTCGCGGGACGCACAAACTTTGCCCCGCATCTCTTGGACAGTACCTCTTTTCCTTTTTCTTTGTCGAAGAACGCCCAAACAGGAATCGGACGAGCCATCGCAATTCAAATGAATAAACATAAGGCATCTCGACAAGTCAAAACAAACCATCACAGGCAGCATCAATAGACTATAGATCACTAAAGATACACACCATAGTTTGTACAACGTACGCATTAGCGTGGGATTTTGTCAACGTAGCACAATGCGTGACAAACGAATACAATCTTGAGTAAGATGATACTCAAAAACCTTCTCTTTCTTATCGCAACTTACATTATTGAATACGTCAGTGGTGGGAATACTACTTTTGTAGATTTATTTTGCAAGAGGTTGGCAGCGTCGGAGGTTAGGTGGAGCCTATTGTCCCAAGCCTGCTTTTAATATCTGCCTTCACTCATCAAAATAGTTCGAAAACTCATTCTGCAGGGAATCCCAAATCTTGCATCATCATATAGTGTACGGAGCTTTGTCAGGGTTCCTCTGTCGATTTTCCTCAGCTTCTGGTCCCTCTCAGCTCACTTCTTTTTGGCCTTCATGAAGAACAGCAGCTTCCTTCTCTTCACTTTCCTTTTCTTCTCATTTCCTTTCAATTTCCTCTTCTCCATTCAAGCAGTCGAAATGTCTATTCATCAGTCAACTGAATTTGACAAGCGCAGATGTTTGATGTGTTTCCATCTCATTTTGAGTGGCGACTGAGGACAACAGAATTACTGAAAACCTGGGCAGCGTAGAGCACCGTCATACGACTAAAGCTCGTCATCTTGACACAAGCTTTTATTAACTCATGGGTTCGGAACTTGTCTCAAGGAATTCATTGTTTTTTTTACAATTTCCTAGTACGTTTATGAGCAAGGGAGTTTCCCACAGCATTCCTGATCTTCTTCAAGAGATGAAGTTGATCTTAAATAAAGAAGAGGGGTCTTGAGCCAGCTGCTAAATTTTTGGTACTATATGTATATTTCTTCTTTGTGTTTAATGGCTCATATGGTATTGAAGGCAGGATGGAGGGGGACGCGCCGCCACCGCCGCTTTGCCGAGGCACCGTGAAGTAGGGCTCTCTCATTACCGCACATAGACCCCACCTTAGCAAAATTGGTGAAGAAACAAGCAAATTGGGTAATTTTTCAAAAATATCGATTAACTGATAGGATTGTTCGATTAAGCCGGTTAATCGATGCTTTTCGATCGACGACGATTAATCGTTCGTTGTGCGATACACGATTGTTCGATTAATATTCGGTCCAACTTTCCATCCCTTTTGGGAAGGCACTGAAGGGCTGCTTTGAATTTTGATAAGAAAGGCGCGGACCAACTGAAAAGTTTTATTGCGGTTTTGGATGGATCTCGCCGAGACCTTTTCAAGGAGTGGTCGGAAGTGGTGAGGTGACTCAAGGCGGTACATAACCTAAGGCAAGCAACTATATGCGTTAAGTTTTAGAACAGCCCTGAATAAGAGTGTAGATGTGTACCTGCAAGTATGCACCTGTAAATGCATACCGTAGAACGGGGTAATATGAGACAAATTTCGAGGTTTTTTGTGCATTTTCCCCTTTTAATTTCTATTTGAGGTACTGAGGTGTTCATTACTTGACCCTTTGGCTACACTCCCACCAAATTTCATATTTTTAGGTGCAGAAGGGACCTTTCAATAACCCTCGGAATGCCGTCCCATATTTCCCTGCAATGTAGGGTAATATGAGACATAAGAAATAAATGTTAAAGAAGTATGGATAATTACATCATTTAGGCAGGTTTGGAGCTTTATAAGTTCTTTTCATTCATTTTAAAGACGATTGGAAACTATAATGGAGACGATATTATATCTGGAGGGGAGAAAAGTGGGTGTCACTAAAGAGAGCTGAAAAATGTATAAAAAGTCATGAGTTGTGCCTGTCACATGAAAATACTAAACGAAGAGCATAGATGCCGGTCAGATAGTAAAACAAATTCGTGTTAAAATCATTATTTCTTGAAATTATTTACAGTGTAGTATGTTTGGCCTCATATTTCAAGCGAAAAGAGGTGTCTCTATTTACCCTGCAAGGTAACAAAATTGTACTCTATCGGGAACAGGCAGCCCGGGAGTAGTCATAACGGAACCAAATTTTGTCCTGATTATGTTGACATAATTGCCTACAGATTTAAACCTCGTACGGACGAGAACCCGAGTTCTAACCGAGGTTTCTGGGGAGGTTTTTACTAACTTTATAAAACTTGTTAAAATTTAGAGGTTTTTCCTTTGGTTCTAAATAACCCTGGCGAGTCTCTGAAAGCCTTCGTGCGTTTCTCGTGAGCTGCCTCCTAGATCACGAAAAAAAATTCTCGGTGGACTTTTGAACAACCGCTAGATAGCAACACGACAAAAACCGAAAAAAGTGCGCTTTGTCTCGATTTTCCTTCATGTCTCATATTACCCCGTTCTACGGTACTGAGCACACATTTCAGTTTGTTGAGTAACTTCCACACGACCCGTGCGGAAGATGGAAGGACGCAAGGTTCCGCTCTTGACAGGAAAACTTGGTGCTCTGTTGCACAGGGGCGGTACGACATCAAAACGGAGCATGTGGAGTGCTGCCCGTCGGCAATTCTGGACCGCCCGTTTCCGTGCACCGTCTCCCACGTCAGGGACCGGCAAGACCTGCGCAACGTTTTCTTCGCAATCAACTTTACTATGAATCATTCCTTCGATGACTACAAAGACGTAAGACATTACCACAGGAGAGGGTCACCACTGTCATTCAGGGGTGCTCTGAAGCGCGTCAGGTGCGTCCGACCATGCCCAGAGGCAACGCTGAGAATCCAAACGCTATGAGTTGAGCGCTATTTGGTGCAATGCATTTAAAGGGGTTTTCATTGCACCAACTGGTGCAATGTTGCACCAACTGGTGCAATGTTGCATTGCACGTGCCCCATGCATTAGCATAGGGCATTTTCGCGACGCATTGCAAGCGTATAGCAACGTGCTCACGGTAAAAACGGTTCCTGGTTTGCCCAGGAACTCCCTGGAAATCGCCTATGCCTTCACCATTGGCTTCCTGGGAAAACCAGGTCCCGTTTTTACCGTGTGGAATCTCAGTGCAGGCGCGGACGGAACGCGACACTGAGCGCAAGCTCAGCATGTGTCGCGAGCCTTCTTGTCGCGAGCCTTCTTGTCGCGAGCCTTCTTTCTCGCGTATTGCTGACGCGGCCAACGCAAACGAGAGTTTAAATGTCCTCCTTTGAGGCTGGATCGTCAGACTCTACGAATTCTATGGCCAAATATACTCAATCAGAGTCAAAAGTGAGAAAGATCGTAAAATGTCCCGTCCCGGACCCGCATGCTTGTCATAAAGTGCTATTGGCCGCACTGAAAATAGAAAGGTCATACTTTTGACCGCTTAAGGGGAGGTTCTACTGAAAATCTTACTTTCTTCAAATTGAGTCCCACTATTTATGTTCATTATAAATTTAAATTATTTTATAGTAAATAGTAAAATTTGAAGTTTGCAGAGGAATACCAAGCCCCAAATCTAGTCGAAGAGGAATTTTCTGCTATTTCCAGTCGTATCTTGAAAAATTCTCCTACGCAAAGTTTTTCAACGTAAACTGATGTTCTGGGCATTTTTCACTTTTTTGGTTCATAATTGATAAACCGTGGCATTAGTAAGATACTGGAACCATTGCAAAATCAGAAGCTGTGTTTTTAACACAGCATGTCACTGAAATTTCAAGAAAATGGTCAAAATCCTGATATTTTAGTGTTTTTTTTTTCTGATAAGCAATGCCAAAATAAACTTGTTGGGTCCCATGTCTTGGTGATGCCACGCTTTATTGCATATGTGCCAAAGAAGTGAAAAATGTCCAGAACATCAGTATACGTTGAAATACTTTGCGTAGGAGAACTTTTTAAGATATTGCCAAAATAGGCTGAAAAAACCTCTTCGACTGGATTTGGAGGAAGGTATTGGGCTCTAAATTTCATGTTTGACTTAAAACAATGTAGTACTACACATATCCAACAAATATTAACACTGGGGCTCAATTTGAAAAGTGCTATTTTTTCAGTAGAACCTCCCCTTAAACGGTCTTACTGAAATGTACGACCGAAAAACGGTCATACTTCGATGTATGACCGAAAAACGGTCATACTTTATAGTGTATCACAGGTATATAAAGGCTGATATATCCCCAAGCTAAACAATAGCCAGTCTCGCTGATGTCTGACCTTTTCTTTGGTCATACATTTAAGTATGACTGTTTTTCGGTCATACATTTGTGTATGACCGTTTTTCGGTCATACTTTTTGTATCACCGAAAATCGGTCCGATGTCTCACCCTTTGAATTTCAGTGCGAGGGGCAAACAACTTCGTCAAAATTTGTACACCATTATTTCAAATTCACGTTATTTCATTGTCATTCCAGCGTTATTTCAAGGGTATTTCAAAGTTATTTCGCGCTATTTCACCGTTATTTCACGCTATTTCACGCTTATTTTGGCGTCATTTCAACGTTATTTCACCGTTATTTCACGTTATTTCACCGTTATTTCACGGAAAATGTACACCTAAATTCAAGTTGTTTGCCCCTCGCTATTGGCTCTTTCCAGGCCCAGGTGGTGTACTCATCCTGGAGCTCTCGGGGCGGCTGGAAGGAGAACGCCATCGTCATGAAGTTTCGCCGCGTGTGCACGTCACTGCGCATCTACCTGCCAGGCGTTTGGAGGCATTTCCTGGACCACACCACAGGGCCCACTGGACCCGTCCACGAGTGTCCTTTACCACCGGTACGGAGCAGCACGACAATCGTTGTTCGGTTTGCTCCAGAGCTATGTGCAATTTGCCATTCGGCCAAATATTTTTCAGGCACTCTTGTGATATTAAGACTTCTCCTTGAATCACCATGCGCCCTGGAGATCATGACCACTTTTCCAGGCGCGGCCTGGACGGGCCTGGAACATAGCCGCCTTTCAGAAGTACACTCTACAAAAAAAGTCCTGTCAACGCCGTTAATTTATTACCAATGTTTGCTGTTACGCAATTCACGGCGCGTGCTGTGAATTACACGGCGTTCACTGTGATCTCGGTTACAGTGTTCACTGTGATCTGGCCACAGTAAACGCCGTGAATTGGAGCCTGATTTGCAGTACTTCGGTGCTTAGCGGCGTCAAACTCACAGTGTTTACTGTGGACCAGATCAGTGAACACCGCGAACAAGATCACAGTGAATGGCGTGAGTAGATCACAGTAAACGCTGTACAGTGAAAACTGGTAATAACGGCATTGACCGGACATTTTTGGTAGAGTGTAGCTTTCATTTGTCGGGTAGCACCTGGAAATAGGGCGCCTATCTGATATATGAGACTGATAGTGTTAGCAATTATTCAGATGCAATGCAATGAAGCTTGGCTCGGATAAGCATTGAGAACGTTCTACAAGATGTAAACTTCGGGATAGGGATTGTAGCTAAATTGTGCCCTTTTGGATTCAAACCTGGGTCGGATGTCAAAATGGATTCCATTTTCATCATCAGCGCCCTCCAAAACATATGAGATGATATAAAACTCGGTGTGCGAACATAAATCATGAAAAGATAATTTTTTCTGTGTTTTTGAGTGTTTAAGTGTTTTTAAGCCTGAATCGAAGGTTGAATTTTAGTGTGTGGCGAGGAAAGGATATACTTATTGACTCTGCACTTTGTCAAAAAGATACGGAAAATTCTGTTTTTTTTTTGCCAGGATTCTCCGTAGCCCTCTTATCACAGTATTATCCGTAGGGCTGCACAGAATTCTCCGTAGGACCGCAGTCTTCTCCATAGAACCGGGAAGACTGTATAGTTGTTAAGGGAAATGTCCGGATCCCGGCGACTCCTAAGATTTACCGGTAAATGTTAGGAGTAACCTACCCAACCCGGGAAATGTCGGGTTCTCCTATCATTTACCGGGAAGTGTTGCGGAAATCGACATTTACCGGTCGGCTGCGGGAAATGTTGAGTGAGGAGGTTGGTTCGAGAGGGAATTTTTTTATTCAACATGTTCTACTTTTTCTTCGAGGCATTTAGACTGAAAATTTCGAATTTTGGAAGTAGCGCGCCGGGATCGGTTGCTGTAGCGGCGACCCAATAATAGACACCTTGACCTAGACACCATAACCAACCTCCACACTCAACATTTCCCGCAGCCGACCGGGAAATGTCGATTTACCGCAACACTTCCCGGTAAATGATAGGAGAACCTGGCTCGGACAGACATTTCCCGGGTTGGGTAGGTTACTCCTATCATTTACCGGTAAATCTTAGGAGTCGCTGGGATCCGGACATTTCCCTTAACATAGTCAGTCCTACGGAGGCTCACTATTGGCTGGACGGTGCAGCGGCCAGCCAATAGTGAGCCGGCCCACTTTCCCCTCCACCTCGGCCCACATGGGGAACAGCGCATCCTGGCGGAGCGTTTGGAACTACGGAACGGGCCAAAAACGAGCTTCACTCGGCCGCGTGGCGGAGGGCCCGAGTGTCCCCACCGTATCTCCCCACACCGTGCTGTACTTAAAAGTATAACAGGGATTGTACAAAGTACAACGAGAATTGTACAAACCACAACGATGCCTGGACTGTCCAGCACTTGCAATGCCGGTTCCATTGCACTGAGAATGAAAGAGTCATCACCATCACCCTTTTATTGGGTAACGCACGCACCGTTGCCCAAATTTGGGTGACGAGCCCGCGGTGACCAAATTTTGGGCTGTCATAAAATCGTCGCCCAAATTTGGGTAACGTCGTCGGCGACGCCGCCGTAAGGTCCCCGATGGCGCTCTTCCGGGGCCACCACGATGACCCAATGTGGCGTTGAGGCCTCCGGTCATCGTGGTGGCCCCGGAAGGACGTCATCGGGAACCTCACGGCGTCGTCGACGGACAGCGTTGCCCAAATTTGGCCGACCAAACGCCTGTTACCAAATTTCGTGTGATGAATTTTTCGTCACCAAAATTTGGGCAAGGAAGTTGCATCACCCATTTAAAGGGTGATGGTGATGACCAATTCATTCTCAGTGTGTACTTTGTACAACAATAGACTATTCTAGTCTTCGCCGACTGAAGAACAAGAAGAATCACAAAACCGGAAGTGGCGCCGGCAACTTAACTTCACTCACCCGTCCGAGTACATCATTTCGACACTCTTTTAAAATCAATTAAGCTTGTGTCAAATACTTTTTGGCAAAGGAAAGAAATGTATTCGTTAGCATTACTCCCTTAAAACAGGCTCACTACTTACTCCCTATCTCTTCTATTTCCGGTTTTGTGATTCTTCTTGTTCTTCAGTCGACAATGACTAGAATAGTCTATCGTTGTACTTTTAAAGCAAATTTGCCAGTAAATTGTGTACTTTTGTTCTGGTTTTTTCTTGCAGTGCATTCACATCTTCATTTGCAGGGCTCCTACGCGTACTACAATTTCTCAAGTGGAGGAATAACGCCAGCGAACATCCCGAGTCTGTACTACGGCAAGTGGCGCGTTGACACGAGGGTTTACGACAGGCGGGAAACATGCATCATGTGCATCCGGATGACGCTTCGCATTTCCCCAAAGGCGAACCAGGGATGACTGTCTGCAGGACGCGGAGCTTCGGTGTCAAACATCACAGAGTTTGTCTCATCGTCGTGAAATCGAGCACCGATATTTCTTATGAGCTGTGCAAACTGAAGAGTGTAATTGGATAGTTTTTAGCAGATGATACCTTTACTCAAAAACATACCTAAAACTACAACTAAAAGACACATAAAGGTGTCAGCTAGCTTTTACTCGAGAGTCCAAAAACCAAGTGCGTATCCTAACAATATAATAGGGGCTGGCTGCCGGGGCGGGCTGGTGCGTCTGTGCCTGCGGCGCAGCCTGCGCGGAATTCGACAATGGCACCCCTCCTCGCGCGCGACGGCCTGGGCGCAACATTCACAATCCCTCCCCGCTACAGCGCACAAAGGACTCAGCTTTTAAATACTATCTTTGGAATGAACCCATACTACACCGTAGAAGAAAACCAAACGAGTATCATCTGCTTTCATTAACGTTCGTTGAATGAGATTTTTTTTAAAGAGTCTACGTGAGTTGACACTGACTATTGCCCATGGGCGCACGTGCACTTGACAGACGCGCTGTAAATAAGTAAACCTAACCTTCCTCCACACCTTGCCTGACATGCCTGCTGACAGGCAGTCAGGTTCACTCTAATAGGAGAGTGAACGCTTAAGTTTGCAAGAGTGATAATTTGTTCTATAATCAAAGGTCATGTAAAAGCCTCCAATGTTAAAGCAATCTATACACACCAAATAGCTGCGGACATTTGTTCCCAGTTACCGAACGATTTTGCGTCAATGGCAGAAACGTTTTTATGCGTTACCAAATATGTCCATGAGGCAGAGTTATTTTGTTATTGGTACACCCTGTGCCTTAAGTAAAAAATAATAGAGCAGAGAAACTTAAATTAAGGTTATTGTAAAGTGAAAAAAGTGGCTTTATGACATTTTTTAAATACTTGTATCAGATGTTTCAATTTAGGGGTATAAGTTCCTTTCTATTACATAAAATCGTACCCCAAGAGGAGGGCTCCAACTCCTATTACGTAGTTTCTGAGTTACGGAGGTTAACGTCAAGTTTTAGTCGTTCCTCCCAAATTCTCCTCACGACAAAGGATTTGCTACCCAGTCCTCAGATTCTGGCAATTTTATTGGCTGAGCGATAGCGAAGCCTGTTACTCCAGTGCGGTTGAAAAGTTTTGTCTGTCTGTCTGTCTGTCCGTCTGTCTGTCTGTCTGTGTGTGTGTGTACACTACTCCTCCTGAACGGCTCGGCCGATCTGGCTGAGATTTTGCAGGCTTAGTAGGTATGTTCTTGGCTCGCCACACGCGAAATTTCACTGTCCTAGCTCAACTGGTTCAGTTTTTATAGCCGAAAAACACTTAAAAAACGGCGAAAAATCGAGTTTTCTGCAGGCAGATCACTTCTGTCGTGAAGAAAGGGGGGTCTGGGGGGCGGAGCCCCCCAGCCCCGACAAGTAAATAAGTTACGAGGGTCAAGATCGTGTTCTCTGTAGATGAAGCAACTCTATCTATATTTGAGGGGGGTCTGGGGGGCGGAGCCCCCCAGCATGCAACAAGTAACCGCCGACGGACAAGCCAATGCCTGCCAAAGGCAGGCCAGCGCCGCAGGCCAAGGTAGGTACGCCAGGCGCGGATTGGAGAAACAGGCCGCGAGACATCGCGAAGCCTGTTACGACAAGACGCTGTCTGGCGTAAACCTACCTTGTCTATTTTCGAATACAAAAAAGACAGCCTTGCCCTTTTTTAATATCTGCCTCAGTTTTCCCGAAAAACCAAAAACAAGATCAAAATGGGTCAAAATCTCACAGATTGGAATAAAAATGAAAATAGGCCTGATTAAATAGCTTTTATAGCCTCTTCTCGACTGATATCTTTAAATACCAACGCTGCCTTTTTCCTATACAAAAATAGATATGATATAATTGCCAAAATCTGAAGACTGGGTAACTAATCCTTTGCCGTGAGGAGAATTTGGGAGAAACGATGAAAAGTTTACGTAGGCTCCATAACTCAGAAACTAATAGGAATTAGGGCCCCCAACTTTGAGAATAAATTCATCTAATAGTGTTTCAATTTTGACCACACAATGGTCTTCCTGTGACAAATATTTCTAGGACATGCTAGTTTCACTTACAGTGAAGTCAATTTTCACAAGGGCCTCAAAGACGTCTTCGCCTTTGGTTTGTCCCATCATGGAGATAAAGGGTGAGGAATGTTCGAGTGACTTCGCCCTCACTCGTATGATCTCCTAAGTACTATCTGCCAGCTGTGCAGTACCGACAATGCTCTCGCCCAGGGCCAATAAACAAACGTGTCTTAATTTTCTCTTGGAACTGTTCCTCAAGGTATTTACCAATAGGGTACTTCGGTGAAAACCTAGACCGAGGGGCAAACAACTTCGTCAAAATTTGTACACCGTTATTTCGCATTTACGTTATTTTATTGTCATTCCAACGTTATTTCGCGTTATTTCACGTAATTTCGCGTTATTTCACGTTACTTTACCGTTATTTCACCGTAATTTCAACGTTATTTCACTATTATTTCACGTCATTTCATGGAAAATGTACACCCAAATTCAAGTTGTTTGCCCCTCGGGAGAAACAATAGAGCATCGCGCGGCTGTGCTGAGCGGTGGAGGGGTTTGAAATCGGCGGAGTGGGGGGTGAAGGCGACGCGGGCATGCTGCCCCCACTCGGCCCATCCCGGCCCCCACCACCGCTCAGCACGGCCTCGCGACGCTCTTTTGTTTCACCCACTCTATCGCTGACTTCCGGACTGGATTTCCTCCGAAGTACCCTATTTCCTTTGATGCAGGCGGTTAAGTTGCCGACTGACGGTATTTAATCGAAAACAGGGCCACAGTGATGTCCCATTTAAACCATTCAAGGGCAACAGCCGCAATTGTTGCCATGCACAGAATGTCATTAGCGAAGTCGCGACCGATTATATTTGACAATGATTTGCTATCTCTCACTCGCTGGGGATGAAAGCGGCTTAGCTCATGCCTATTACCAGTTTCAGCTCGTTTCAATCTTATCTGATAGGAACGGAGGTGGGGCACTAACAGCAACCTTGTTGGGGGCTACATGGTCATCGATCCGCCTCTCGTAAATCAATTTATCTTTTCGGCGACTCTGAACTCTAACTCAGGAGTCGTTTTCATCGCTGTCTCTCTCGCACCTTCTCGGAATGCCCCATTAGTGCGAGAGAGAATGTCGAAATGGACCCTTGGAATCGGTCTGCATCTGGCGTTATTAGGCTACAACGCCTTAGCAGGGTCCTCAGTCGGAGGTTGGTGACCAAGGGCTGCGATCATGGGCGACGGGAGCAAGCAAGGCCGCTGCCAGTGGGGTGAGTTATTAGTTCGGCGCGGTACACACGCTAAAGTCCTTACATATACCGTGTTTGTAGGTTACGGAAAGTTTTGTGCAGCCATATTTCGGATCGAATTTTGTGAGTAATGCGGATGTTTTTGTCCGTAATACAAAGATTTGGGAATCCGTATGTTACGAGATTATCTGTAAATTACAGACATCAAAACCTTTGTATTACGGACAAAAAATCCGTATTACAAACAAAATTCGGTCCGTAATATGGCAGCACAAAACTATCCGTAACCTAAAAACACGCTATCCGTAAGGGCTTTATTGTGCAAAAGAAAACCTTGGATAGACTAGCGTACGATGCGAGTTAGAGATACGCGGGGTTGCTTCAAGTCCACCTTAGAAACGTATTAGCGGAGTGCTTTTCCGCCGTTTATATGAGAGAGAGAAGCTCTCCTTTACGGCCTTCGCCGTTGATATGGCTTCTAGGGGCGTGTGCAGAACGTTTTACTTGGGGGGGGGGGCGCTTTTGCCTAACTTGCAGGGGCGTGTACACTCTAAAAAAAGTTACAGAATTTTGAATCATTTTTGATGCAGGATTTTGTATCACCTGCATTGGTTACAAATATTTGTATAAGTGATATAGAATTTTGTAACAGATGTGCCGGTTACAGAAAAATGAATCATTTTGGACCTTGATACAGAAATTTGTTACATGAAGGTTACAATATTATGTTTGTAACATAACTGATACAGAAAATTGTAACTGGATACTAAATTCTGTATCAGAGATAAAAACATAATGTTTTAACGGCAAAATTGAACAGCAGTGCCCATAGAGACAAGTTAAACTTAGAGTTTTCATGTGCTTTTATTTTTCCCGACTCTGAATAAGAGATTCAGTCTCGTGTATGCTTGGCTGGCAAGGCCTCCGTCCCTTACTGCGCGCGTCTCAGGTCACCGGCTACCTGCGCCGCTCCCTCCACGGCGTCCGCACAGCGCAGTTGGTAGCGTGGCGGGCCGCCAACCCAGAGTTTGGGGTTCGATTCCCGACTTCTCAGAGAACATCTGGGAAAGTTGTTACTCGAAGAATGGCATAAGGACCTTCAATCAGACCCACGGAGACTACGTTCGAACAAAATTCTCATTTTGAAGCTTGATTTGGATGAATAACGACTGTTTACAAATTTTGTAACCGTTACGAAATTCTGTAACCAAGTTACGAAGAAAAAAATTGTATCCATCGTGATACAAATTTCTGTAACACATGTTATTGAAAAAGCTGCGTAACCATGTTACAAAATTCTGTACTGATTTTTTTTAGAGTGTACCTCAAATTGCCTACCCTCCAGGCGCGCAACACAATTCGCCTATCTTTAGGTGCTCAAGCAGTGATAATTTATTGACGTTTTAGCCTAAACTCAACCGCGCTCAACCGCCTGCTGTGTTTGGCAAAACTACACAACCAAATCATCACAGTATCTGGCAGTGCAGTTAAGTCTGCACACAGTTATGTCTTACGGTAGGCTGCACCAACATAATATGGTGGAGATATTCTCCATAATACCAACGAAATTCGTCAAAATCTCTATAAGGTACAGTGAATACTCAATGGTGTGTTACGAGGTCAGCTGCACCACCATAATATGGAACATTTTCACCATAATATGGAGAATCTTCACTGTGCAACATTTAGAGTGCAGCGTCAGTAACCCCCCTCCCCCTCTCCTTTCAACCAAAACTCCTCGGATGTGGACGTTTCGTAAGGGGGGCTCGGATCGAACCGGGGGGGGGGGGGGGGGCTAAGCCCCTTTGAGACCCCCGTAGACACGCCCCTTGATGGCTACTATGTTGGTGACTTCCTCGGGCTGTCACAAGAACACCGACTAGATTGAGTCCGGCCGGCCTATGCCCGGAAACGACTTTTTTTAATCACAAATTCTTAAAGTAAGAACTCGTCCCCTTGATTTGTTCAACGTTTATTGCCAAATCGTGGCAGTACTCCTAAGTATCGCCAAATTATGGCGATACTTTTTGTGTATTGCCGTTCTAAAGGCAATACTTTTCCGTAATGCCGTTAATTGGCGATACTCAATTGTATCGCCAAAAAAGGTATTAAAAGTATTGCCTTTGTATTTAGAGTGCTGGGTCTGAACTAAGATTAGAACCTTTTCCATTAGCGTTTCAAAACCTTCAGAAATTTTTCCTTTCGACAGGGCTGGTGGTTGGGGTTGTCGTCACTCTGTGCGCCAGGGCAACTCTTGGAGCGGGAGTCTATCACCGGCTGCCACATACGGAACCTGCATCCCGGTATGTTTTAGTGGAAAAGCCTGGCCATAGGGCAAACTTCTAAATCCGTTCTCGTGCTAAGTATATATGCTCAAATAAGTATATATGCTCAAATACCTGCTTACCGAACATCCTAGCCTAACACGTGTGTTGACTTCGTTTTTTGTGAAAACAATACAATTTCTGTTAAAAACTGCCGGAAATTTCTGGGGAGCTCTCCTGGAAAAAGCTTTTTCTGAGAAAAGCAGACTTCGTTTTCGTCGTGGAACACGGACGAGGGGGTAAACACTCTGAGAAATCGTGTACAGAGTACTCGGTGTTACGCTGTCTTACGGGGATATTACACGGGCATTACGGCGTTAAGGCCAGGGACAGGTGAAAAAATGATCTCAGAAACTGCTGGTCCAAAACTTCTTATTTTCTGTCAAAATCTTACTCTTGATGATAAACTATTTCACCCAAAATCCCATCCCATAATATCAAGCGGTTCCTGAGATACAGGCTTTTTTATAATTTTTTTAAGTGTTTCTTAAAAAAATCCTGTGCGTTTCCCATTTTGGGTTATTGACCTGACCGACATATTTTTTTGTTCGTCTAAGTCCAAAGAACAAACGCAAGTGACAGATTTTAGTTTCCGGCACTGATAGCAAAATACCAACTTTTCAATTTTGATATTTTTCATAAACCAAAGATTTTCCCTTTTTTTGTAAAAACCGATATCCAAAACCATACTTCTGGGTGGAATATACAAAAACTGTCACTTGCGTTTCCTCGCAATAACCTACTGAGTCAGTGGAAAAAATATCATTGACGACACTTCAAACTGTATGCGCACAGGACCATTCAAATGTTAAGGGGGCAGTAGCACTTTGTGCACGCTTTTTCAAGTTTTTTCGAGTTTTCTGTTTGCACCTGAATTAAAAAGACTTCCATGAATGCTAGAGACAAACGGCAGTTACCATGTAAAAGATCAATTTTTTTGCAACAATTTCAAAAAAAATATTTTGGTTTAGCGTTAAGGGAGGCACTTATATGAGGGACGTAAGAAAGGTCTGCAAAATCATACATGGTGTCACTGCGCGCACGATTTCAGCCAAAGTTTTCAACTTTTTTTCAATCGGTAAAGTGCATAAAAAAGAGCATAAAATTGCCTACAAAATGAACCACGGGGGTTAATATTGGGCCAAAAACGCTGGTAGGAAAAGGTCGTTTTTCACAAATTTTCCATTGAATGCATTTTTCTTGTTCGATACTAAATATCCAGTAGCATTTTTCATCCGATATTAACCCCCGTGGTTCATTTTGTAGGCAATTTTATGCTCTTTTTTATGCACTTTACCGATTGAAAAAAAGTTGAAAACTTTGGCTGAAATCGTGCGCGCAGTGACACCATGTATGATTTTGCAGACCTTTTTTACGTCCCTCATATAAGTGCCTCCCCTTATGCTAAACCAGAATACTTTTTTTTGAAATTGTTGCAAAAAAATTGATCTTTTACATGGTAACTGCCGTTTGTCTCTAGCATTCATGGAAGTCTTTTTAATTCAGGTGCAAACAGAAAATTCGAAAAAAATTGAAAAAGCGTGCACAAAGTGCTACTGCCCCCTTAAAAAAATGTCTTCGGAGAAAAGGGCGTTTAAAGTTTGGTGACAGATTTTAATGGATTTTCAGCCAAAAAAATCTCCTTGCGCATACTATTTTGTCGTAAAAGGTTGACCTGGATATTTTTCACTTCTTCGATTCATTTTTAAAAGATCCCAGCATGCACAACTGAATATGTCCATTACATTATCATTGGCAAGCTTCTAAAGCATGCATTTCACTTAAATTGATCAACAATGTACAAAATAGACAAGTTTTAGTGACTTCTTAGATGAAAAAAGCATGTGATTACTAATATAATGGAAATTTTGAACTAGGCATGCTGGAATCTTTTTAAAATGAATCGAAGAAGTGCAAAATGTGAAGATAAGCCTTTTACGTCAAAATAGTATGCGCAAGAGGATTGTTCAAGATACGGCTAAATAAAGCCAAAACAGTCCAAAAAAGACAATTCGACTGGGTTCAAGACCTAGCATATGCCTTCAAAAATCAAATCTTAGTCTCTTTGAAGTATGATTTCATATTCCCAACAAATTATGACAGTGGGGTTCATTTTGAAAATGGCAAGATTTTCGCTAGACCCCCCCCCTCCCCCCTTGATGGCAAAACGGACAATTTTACTAAAGTGTCGTAAATGCAGGAGTGTGTGAAAAGATGTATTTTAAGCACTTCCAGGTCCCGGATAGTCGAAGTCCCGACAGATCCTGAAAGAGGAAGGTCCAAAGGACCATTTTCCACCCGGAACTCATTTCATTCAATTTCACCAAGCTTCTTCATTTTTTCACCTGTCCCTGGCCTTAAGGGGGCAGTAGCGTCATTTGCACGTGTCTTGACGATTTTCGAACCTCCTGTTTAGACGTCAATATAAAGATAAGTATGAATGCCAGAGACAAACGGCAGGCACCATTTGAAAGATAAAAGTTTTTACAACATTTTCAAAAAAAAATATTTTGTTTTAGCATTGAATTAGGATGTTTTGTGTTCTATGCAAAAATGGTCTGCAAAATTACATGGTGTCACTGCGCGCACGATTGCAGCCAAAGTTTTTAACTTTTTACCAATCGGTAAAATGCATCTGAAAAAGCATGAAATTGCCCATAAAATGACCCTTGGGTTTCAATATTGGGCAAGAAAAACTATTGAAACGCTCATCTTCAAATTAAGATGGAAACGAACCACATTTTTTCTGGCCCAATATTAAAACCCAAGGGTTATTTTATGGGCAATTTCATGCTTTTTCAGATGCATTTTACCGATTGGTAAAAAGTTAAAAACTTTGGCTGCAATCGTGCGCGCAGTGAAACCATGTAATTTTGCAGACCATTTTTGCATATAACACAAAACATCCTAATTCAATGCTAAAACAAAATATTTTTTGTTTTGAAAATGTTGTAAAAACTTTTATCTTTCAAATGGTGCCTGCCGTTTGCCTCTGGCATTCATACTTATCTTTATATAAACGTCTAAACAGGAGGTTCGAAAATCGTCAAAACACGTGCAAAAGACGCTACTGCCCCCTTAAAATGCCACCTTTGGCCCAAAAATGGTATTACAATCGCGAGTATTACGCGTAATACACGAGTGTTCACTCCCTCGAACACGGAGATGCAGGCATTTCGACGTCTAAGGAAGGTTTCGTTTGGTGCTTGGTTCTGTTCTGAAACGAGGCGTCTCGCTGTGGCAGGGACGTTGAGGCGACGCGCGATGAACCTACGGCCAGCGACCTCCTGTACGTGTTCCAGAGGCCTGCGGAGCCCATCTTCACCTTGCGGGGCCACGACCGCAACGTGGCCTTCGACGTGCCAGTCAGCTATTTGGTAAAGCTCAGCATTTCAACTTGCTCTGTACTTCCTCGAGATCCTACAGCGATTTTCCTTTCGCATTCGAAAAAAAAGAAAAGAAAAGACTTTTGTACTAAGACAGCACAGAGAAGTTAGTGACCTGCGCTGAGGGATTCTCAATAACTTGACCAGCTTCTGAACATTGTGATAAATTTTATCAGCGTCGGGGTGGATTTAAGTGATTCCAAGCCAAACCCACGATCTCTTAGAAATTCATCTCTTCGAAACTCTTAGGGGTACGGGGCATTATAAAAAGATTCCATGTGAAATAGTTTTGTTTTGTCGCGTTTGGCTGTGATAACATGGCGAAGTTTTGCACTTTGGTCAGAATCATGACATTTTCTCTCATGACATTTTCTCTATTTGTCTCCGTACTTACAGAAAGTTTTTAGATTTTTTTTCCGACAACGGTTCTTTTTGTAAAAGGAGCTGGGGAACACGATGTAAATAGTTTCGAGAGGATTGGATGAAGTTGTGATGTTGCTTTCTCTATTTCAGGTAATTCTTTTTCGAAAAATCGCTGTTCCCAAGATAGCTTATCTTTGATTTTGATGTGACTTTCCCCACATGATGCTCTCTCATATTGGAAGAGAATCCTAAAAGGATTTAGTGGGCCCGCTAAAAGTTTTGTTTCTGTCGAGAAGAATCCGTTGAAACATGGAAAAGTCACTTTGAACAATTTTGAAAATTTATACCTCATTTAAGTATGACAGAAGATTTGCGGGCCCTGAAATGCCCTGTGGAACAGACGAAAATACTCAAAAGCCAATCATCCGACCGGGATACTTTTGGACGGCCCTCGTGCCAATGTAGCGTTTCAATCTTTATTTGGGAGAATACAATGGTTGATTTGAATCGGCCATACCCCGATTCTACCGCCAAACAACTTTGGGCAACCTGTTTTCAGTCTGTGGAGCTTGCCAAAATTTGGCATAGGCGGCCAACGCGCCAAATATAGGCAAGCGGATGAAGATTTCAGGTCAAGGCTTGTTTTGGCATTTCGGCATCCATGCGGCGAGCCAAGTTTGTGGCAAACAAACTTGGCATCGGATTCAAAAAGCCCGAGCTCATCAGTGAGAAACAAACAAAAGGTTGCTTCCTTGTTTCGCAGCCGGAGCGCTACGTGAGCCTTGCCGCCAAGATTCGCGCCACGGTAGCGCGTCGCGCTGGCCGCCTCATTCAGCTGCCGGACTTGCCGATGCCCGTCGAACGGTTCGCCGACGTCAACGGCATCCTGGCTTACCGCAGCCCCTACACCAGGTCGGCCCCCATCTACCTCAAGCTCGCCATTCGGTTCTGGCACTTCTTCGACGGTGCGTATTGAGTCCAATGAGTGCCACAGGGGCAGCTGGAAAAAGTAATGGTTGTGGCTGTAACTTTCGATGCCACTGTCGTGTCCTGTGCACACTGTACAGGACAATCAATTGAAAATAAAAATAAATGCAAAATTTCACAATTTGCCACAATGAAGTTTTGATATGGGAAGTGAATTCAACCAAAACGGACGAATTAATGATTAAAGATCTTAACTATTGTAATAATTAAGCTTCACCTCTGTTTTACAATTTTCAAGACTGCCCCTGTAAATACTGTAAAGAAAAACGACGGACTTTCCCGGTAAATAATTGACCAGACTTATTCCGTACCCTGTTCTGTACACGTACAGAGAGGGATACGGATCGTTCCGTACCTCTTCCCGTATGGGTACAGAACGGATCCAGAATCAGGGTTCACACCGGTCAGGGAAATCAGGGAAGTCATGGAAAAATCAGGGAAAATAAAATGGGCGCTGGAAGTCAGGGAAAGTCAGGGAAATTCGATTTTGGTCAGGGAAAATTTGAAAAGTTCGTCAAAGTATAGATTTTGAACGCCGCACGTGTGGAAGTTGCGTGCACTTGACTCCGGAACTGCACATAAATTTTAAAAATAAAGTCAGGGAAATTAGGTAATTTTTACACTGGATATCAGAGAATCTGGTGTGAACCCTGAGAATGGATACGGAACGATCGGTGCCCTTTTTCGTATGGATACAGTAAAGAGTACGGAACAAGTCTGGTCAGTTATTTACCTGGAAAGTCCGTCGATTTTTTAACAGTGTGGTAGGTCGCTCTTCGCTGACATTATGTAGCAATTTATATTGGACAGAGAGCAAGACAGTTCCGGAACTTCTGGCTAAGGCCGTATGGGCTCGACTACACTACAACCCTGAAATGATCCTCGACGCCCTCATGATAACGATGCTCAGGTCTCCAATCGAAGCCGTCAAGGTACATCTGGCAGTCGTGTCGCAATTTTCTTCAAATTTATTTTCCATGTTTGACATCATTGTACGTATCGGCAAATATTCTAAACTGACATGGCTGAGCATTGCAGGACGTTCCATTGCCAGAACTGCCCCAATACATCCCGGAGTTGTACACGGACGATCAATTTTTTGCATTGGCTCGCGAAGAAATGCATCTGGTGGCCGAGGAAGACAGAGTAAGTAGAGATGACGTTTGAAGCATGCTTCGTTCTTGTCCGTCAAAGCAACTTACAATTACCCGGAAAAGAAACTAAAAACAACAGCTCAATCTTCAGAACCACTTCAAAAACAGCTCAGTCTTCAGAATCGTTTTCAACAGCTGAATCTTTATAGACATTTCAACAACAGCTCAGTAATTCAGAGTACCCGAGGTTATAAAGTCCTCTCCCGCAGTTTCGCCACACCGTCAGAGCCAAAATACCAGAGAAAGCTTCCCGCTACAAGCGTTGTGATGGCTTCGTGCTGATAAAAAAACTATTTTGGAAAAATACATTTTGGAGAAAATAAACAATTTGGGAAAAATTTCTTTGGAAAATCTACATTGGTAATAAAAGTTTTAGAAATATTCTCCATTGGGAAAATCGGTTTGGGAAAAATGACCGGTAACCATGGATGCACAACAAACCTAACTGTCTACTAAGTACACACTTACAAACGTGTGCTTGGCCAAGTACACACTTACAAACGCATGCTTGGCGCCGTATAACTCCGTGCTAAGCATTGGCGTTTGTGAGTGTGTACTTGCCAAGCTTGCATTTGTGTGTACTTGGCCAAGCATGCGTTTGTAAGTGCGTACTTTGCCAAGCATGCGTTTGTAAGTGTGTACTAGCAAGCATGCGTTTGTAAATGTGTACTTGCAAGCATGTGCATTTGTAAGTGTGTACTAAGTATACACTTAGGTCCGTATAGAGCCCTGGTCCGTAGTGTGGAACTGAACTGTTGTTGAAGAGCTTCGAACGACGTCTGAGCTGTTGTTGTAGCGTCTGCTGAAGATTGAGCTGCTCTCTTTGGTGGGTATCCGTTCAATCCAACCCATCCTGCTCTATACTTTGTAGGTGGCTATGCCCGTGGTGAGGAACCTGTCGAAGGATGATGAGGCTGCCCTGTGGTACTTCCGCGAGGACGTCCACTTCCAGGTGTTCCACTGGAAGTGGCACGTCATCTACCCGACGGGCTACGACGACGACGAGTACGTGGACCTGCCCCGGCGCGGCGAGATGTTCGTCCACCTGCACCGGCAGTTCACGGCGCGGTGCGTACCTCACACAGTAAAAACTAACTCTACGAAGAATGGCTTCGTAATAGGAAGAAAATGAAGGCATTGTAAAATCTACGAAGAATTGATTCGTATTATGAAGCAAAATCCTTCGTAATACAAAGCATTTCTTCATAATCCGAAGCAATTCTACAATGCCTTCATTTTCTTCGTGGTTACGAAGCAAATGCTTTGTAGACTTTTAAGAGTGCATTCTGCTCGCCAAAATAGCCACGGCCATTTTATATCATTGCCTTAAAGGTTAAGGTCGAGGTGGGGAAGATAACCGAATACCTCAGGGGTGGGGAAACATCAGAAACCCTAATTTTAGACTGGATTTCCTTAGTTTCAGACTCACTAACGTTAGTGTAGGGTTCCAGTAACCAGCAGAGGGTATTTCCGCGTATAAGAATGTTCTGTTCGTTTAAAGTAGGGGTGTGCGTTTCTTCCCAGCTCCTGCAGTGTTCGGTTCCTCCCCGCCCTGACCCTAGGTGCATTAGTTTTTTTGCGTTTTGGCTGGTTTGGACTGGATTATCACATTTTGGAGTGATAATGTGATAACATCCTTTCATGCCGCTTGAGTTATGAATCCTTCTAAATATGGCCAGGTACAACGCAGAGAGGTTCACTAACGGCCTCCCCGCCGTACTACCCATAGATGTTCATAAACCGTTACCCAAAGGGTATTTTCCGAAAATGGTCCATCTTCATGCCGAGAAGGGTACCATAGGCAGGCAAGCAAATACGTCACTACTCGTAAGTAAATGTTCACATTTGTTCTGTTCACTGAGAAAACCTTACAAACTATTTTAAGCCTTACAAAGAAAAGTTGTTTGTATAACGAAGTATTTTGAGCATACGTAAGCTTACGAAGAAAATACTTCGTAATTTATGAACTATATCTTCGTATAACAAAGTATTTTAGTTTGTTATACGTATGCTCAAAATACTTCGTAAGGTTTTAAGAGTGTTCTGTTCGTCGATGAGTACTAAGATTCTAATACTGGATGTGGTTTGCCACAGCCTCTCACTGAATTTATTCACAACCACGATTTGCAAAGAGCACGCTACGAACAAGTTCTTAAACAAGGATATGTAACTTATGTGAGTAAATTCTACGAGAAATTGTTGTTTCCTAGTCTTAAGTCGACACTCTCATTCTAGGGACCGTGACAGCACGTTGGAACGGTTGTGACAGAAATTTACGGGTCATTTGAGCTTTGTGTCACATTCGTTTGATGAATAAGCTAATTTATGGATTATTCAAAGAAAAATAAAATGGAACGTGACGCTTTGTCACATTCGTCTCAACGTGATGTCACGACTGGAATGAGAGTGTGATCCTGAGTTGAGGCAGTCCTAGCCCTGCAGTAGAAACTGAAAATGTGTTAGTGAAAACAGCTCTGCCATATAACTGTCGACGTGTTCTCTTGTTCTTAGAAAAACGGGACGAGAGTGAACTTAAGCGGAATCGAGGGTCTGGACATCATAAGTAACCTGCTTGAAGGAAATTCGCTGCTGTCACCTGACTTCGACTTCTATGGAAGCGTCCACAACGATCTGCATGAGAACCTGGCGCGTGCTGCGGACACGCTCAGCCAGTACGCGGTAAGAAATGGTCATTTTGCGAAATACCGTCGGTCGTCTTTGGCGCCACATGAAATTGAATTGAAGGTTCTTAATTGTGCTTTTTTTGTTAAATGTTGCCGTGTAGGAGCCTTTCGCAGTCACTTCGTATATTACAACTGTAGCCAAGGACCCGGCATTTTTCAACATCCACCAGTTGATGGATAACCTCTATGAGCAGTACAAGATAAGACTAGCCCCGTACTCGACGGATGAGGTGCGTTAGTACTGTCCAGGAATTGCACTGAAACCGAAATGACACAAGTATACTGCACTTTGTGCCTACTTACAGGGGCAAAGCTGCACTTTTTGCCTACCTTTCAGGTGGCTCTCGGGGGGGGGGGGGGGGGGGTTGCATCCGCGCCTGCTTTCACCTACGTAATGACTGTGTTCTCTGGTGAAACTACAAGCGATCTTTAGGTTGGCACCCTCGGTATTCCGGTCATGCCCTATTGGGATTCTAACCTGCGTCGTAGGTCGAAATGGATCCCCGTTTTGGCATGAGAACCTAAGACAATTTAAAGTTGATTTTTTCTGCCGTTTTTTTTTCTAGAATGACGAAATGGATCGAGATAGAAAGCTTAATTTTGAGGTGTGGTGCGCCAAGGACATACCTAATGAGCCTGCAAGATCTCAGCTAGATCGGCCAAGCCGTTCAGGAGTAGTGCTGACACACATGCACACGAAATTTTCTAACCCCAGCCGAGTAACGGGCTTCGCTATCGATTAGCCAAACATTTATCGCTGCATTCTAAGCCATTCAGATTTAGTTACTAACTTAAACAAGGGCACGGTCTAAAACGTATAACCACGTCTGTTTAATTAGCATTTTTTTTTAAATTAAACTTGAAAAACTAAAAATTTACCGAAGTTTTCATCCGGTCCGTCCAATATTATGCGCCTTATGTTCTCTTGGGAGTACAATAGTACAACCGAAACAACAAACGGTCAGGGTGACCTTAATTTTTGGTCCCGTAGTCACGGAATGACCAAGTGCTAATGCAGTTGTTGTGCGTCTGGCGGTGTCTAGGTCACACCGCTCCCCGCCGTCACCCTGCAGTCCGTGTCGGTGCGCACTGCCGGCTTGTCGCAGGACAACGCCCTGCGCACGTACATGCAGCAGACCGACCTGGACGTGTCGTTGGGGCTGGACTTCACTCCAACAGGCCGCCAGTACGCACGCTTCACGCACCTCCAGCACAGGCGCTTCGACTACGTGCTGCAGGTGAGCAAGCCTCGTCAAACTGTACACTCAAAGGTTCACCAGGGGCCTCAGACAACAGATGAAGCGGGGGCCGCCGGGGTCAGACCTCTCTCTCTTTCTCTCTCGCGCGCGCACACCGCACAGCACCCTGTCTCCAGTCGGGCCGATTCCGCGCGCGGGCCGCCCGTCTGAGACCCCTGCACTGCACTACAACTAGGTTCACTCTTCTCTAAATGCATAGTTGCAAGTACACACTTACAACACTGCGGCAAAAAGCTACGGAAAATTCTGTAAACAGCTTGTGTTAACAGCTTGTGTTTATTCTCCGTAGGATCTTACAGTATTTTCCGTAGGACCGCACAGTATTCTCCGTAGGACCTTAAAGTGTTCTCTGTAGGACTATACATCTTCCAGGCCCTACGGAGATGACTTTGCGGTCCTACGGAGAATACTGTAAGAGCCTACGGAGAATACTGATAAAAGGGCTACGGAGAATCCTGGCAACAAAATTAACAGAATTTTCCGCACCTTTTTACCACAGTGAAGTGGATGCTCAGCCCAACTCTGTGCACTCTATGCACGTGTGTCTAATAGTCAAGTAGTTTGCACTTGTGTGTGCCAGGGAGGCAGGGAAATATCATTTCTTTATTTTATTGAACAAAAGTCTGCACTAGTCTTGCATTACAAAACTAACCTCTCGAAATACAAAACTGTCTGATTTGTACCCTTCTTTTTTCTTTTATTACACAACATTGTAAAACACTGCATAGTACAATGACGTTGCAAAAACCACCAGAAAATATTGCAAAAAAAAAAAAATTTCATTAGGCGGGTTGTATGTGTATGTGTCATGCGCTCTACCCTTTCTCATAAAGGAGCACTACTTGTTTCTGTAACCTTATTGCCTGCGATTGGCTGCAGGTGCTGAACAACGAGTCTCAAGATCGTAAGGTGTTCGTGAGGCTGTTCCTGTTGATGACGGAGGATGAAAATGGATCCCCACTGGACTTGGACTTCCAGCGACGCTACAGCATACAACTCGACACCTTTGAAGCGACTTGTGAGTTTTGTCGGTTTCAAACGACGACGAACCCTTTGAATCATGCGGCAACTCCTCCGGCGGGCCTCTTCTCAGGTTTCCTCGTCCGTGCGGGACGCGGTTCAACGACTGTTCACGCTACTTTTTTTCTCACCCAATTCTTACCCAACTTTTTTTCTTCGCAAACCTACCAACACGCACCTAGCGAGTCCACTCTTTCTTGGGGTTCAACGACTGTTCACACTACTTTTTTTCACGAACTGAATTGTTACATTTGCAATTTTGACTAAACGCACAAATTTTCGCGTGGCATGTGCCGGTTGGGCAGCGTCCTATTCTTACCCATTTTTTTCTTCGCACACCTACCAACACGCACCAAGTGAGCCCACTCTTTCAGGACATCCCTTCATTCTCATCATATTAGCTTCGGTTTCGAACGAGACCCTTGAATTGTTCTTGATGCCGTTGGCGAATGCCCCTGCAGTGTCGCCCGGCGCCAACACAGTCCGCCGATCGTCCGTCGACTCGGCGCTGACCATCGACACCGACGCCGTCTACACGCCGCAGCCCAGCGTGGCTGAGATCCGGAGGCGGAACGCGTGTCGCTGCGGCTGGCCCTCCGGTCTGCTGCTGCCCAGAGGCAGCCCCGCCGGCACGCCCTACAAGCTGCTGGCCATGGTGACGGACTTCGCGCAGGACAGGGTGAGTGCGGACAGCATTGCACACTCTGAATGTCTCATGGTGTAAGGCTGCACCAACATAATGTGCTACAGAAGATCCCCCCGATACAAAATAGTAAATTTGACGAGTACTGTAGGTTGAAGGTGCAGTAAATTTTCAAAGGTAAGTTATAAAGTCAGCAGCACCACCATTAAAAATCGAGACTTTCACCTTGAGACTTTTAGCATGTCACAAGATCCTCTTTCTCTTTTCTATTGTTACCGGATATAAGAGACATGTAAAGCAGCGCAGAGCACACCGCACCAACGTGTCTCTTGGCTTTTCTTACATATTAGCATATTGGCCAATTTGTCAATGCCAAACATTAGTATACCTGCCAATGGCATACATTGGCATATTTGTGCAGGGAGCAATTTATTCACTATGCTCACAAGCTGTGCGCAAGGCGTAAAACACGCTGTAATTCCCATTTGGTGTCAAATCAAGGAGGTATTCGCTGGAAAAGCTTTTCAGAAACTTTCGAAAGCAACTCCCTATGTGCCACACTGTTCGAAAATTTTTCGTAAATTTACAAAGATTTCACTGGAAATTTTTATAAACGAGAGCTTTGTAAAACGTAGTTGATGGAATATGCCATAAAGTTCCAAAATTCATCGTAAACATCAATTTACAAGATACTTTGTAAATCTACAAAACATTCCTTTATATTTGTGATAATTGTAAGTAACATGCACCCTAGCACGCAGCAAATAGTGTTGAGAAAAAATGTTCGTCGGAGACTCTAAACCAGGACTTTCTGGCCCGCCGGCAGCCTAACTGCCACAGCTCTGCAAGGGCATTTGAAGCTCGATTACCAGCTGGCTTTGGCAATCTCTACAGCGTATTTTGTCAATTTCACAACTGTTTCATTTGTCCACAAAGTGTTTGCTAAAAATATCACAAATATCGTTTTGGGGCTAATACAAGATTTATAATGTCAAAGTATGGAATAATCTCTAAATTTTAAGATACCCTTTTAAAGAATATTTTACGAAATGTTTCGAGCTAAAATATTTCGTAAAATAACGAAAATTTCTAGCAAAGCAAAGTGACACAAAATTGCCACTTAATTTTCCTACTTGTTACTCTCATTATCAATAACATTACGAAACTATCAGGTATAAAGTATATATAGCTCACTAAAGTGAAAAACCGAGTAGTACATGAGATACAGCGTAATACCAGGGGGTGGCAACGGCCTAGGGAGAACGTGAAGCGATGCTCGCGCCGTCAGTGCAGAGGTTGCGCACTTGGTCGAGATTATGAAAACTAGACTGTGTTTTTCAAAACACTTTGCACCGATAGAAAGGGCTTGAAATATAGGGTGCATTAGGCTAATTGCCCTTCTCGAAACTCCTCCCTTACCTAATATTAAGGTGCAGAAAAAAACACCGAAAAACAAAAAATCAAAAAATTGGGGGAAAAAAAACTCGATTGCGCCAATTGATGTAAATGTTTTCGCCCTTGTGTTCGGTTGAATTGGAAGTATCGACCAGTCTACTCGGCCTAATGCACCCAAAATTTTGTGCTCTCTCGATCTGTGCAAAGCGTTTTGCAATCAACGGTCTAGATCTTACAATCGAAGCAAAATAAGTAACCCCTGCACTTTACTCGCGCATGGCTTCACGCGCCTCCCAGGCCGTTGCCGCCCCCTGGTAATACCGAGTAATGCATATACGACGAAGCGTTTGCCCCTGGGTTGTGGCTCCGCCACTGACGTGCTGCTGTTGCTGTGCAGGCACCCAAGGCGGCCTCGGAGCAGTGCAGCGACGGCTGGCTGCTGTGCGGCGTGCCCGGCAGCACCCACTACCCCGACGTGCGCGCCATGGGCTTCCCGCTGGACCGGCCGTTCCGCGCCGCCGTCAAGTCCCTCGGCGACTTCCTCACGCCCAACATGGCCGTCGCCGACGTCGTCGTGCAGTACGAGAACGTCACCGAGGCGCCCACCGCCCTGCTGCCGGGCGGCGCGTCCACCAGCTGGATGCCGTGAGGCGCGAGCGGCGCCCTCCTTGAGGTCGAAGGAAGCTGAAAGTCAGAAACTAACTGCTGGACCCTCTTAGGAGGAAACAAATAAAACTGCTGCTTGTAAAGTGTTCTCATATTGGTTTAATTCAGTTCATGTTTGTGACGTTGGGCACTATGTTTTTTATGGTGGACAAAGGAAGTTAGCCCACGCTGCAATCGTGAGGGAAGATTGGGCACGTCGACACTCTACTGCTCATCGTAGCTGTGATTTCAGGTAATGTTTTCAAAACATCGATTTGACATTAGCGTATTTCCGCGACTCTTGAAACGGAAGGAAGAAGAACACAAGTAAGTGCACAACTTCCATCCCCTCGCCTCGAGGGGGTAAACACTCGCGTAATACCCTGTACACAAAAACCGTGTATTACGCGTAATACACGTAATTGTAATACCATTTTGGGGCTAAATATGCCAAATTTTGGCATTTTTGTGCCGTAATACGCGTGTAATGTCCCCGTAATACAGCGCACAATGATCCAGAAATGTCAAAACGCGGAAAAAACCTCTAAATTTTTTTTGGCATTTTCATGAATCCAAGTGGTGATTTTAATAGAAAAATGTCTGGAGAAAACGAATATGAACTTAGTTTTGAGCTTCAAGAATGCATTTTTAGTGATTTTTGGCCTCAAAGTTAAGTGTTTTTAATACTTTGCATTGTTGTAAAATTTTTGTTAACTTTAAATTGTATCTTTGTGATGCAAAGTCGAAATGCATAATGTTTATATGTTTTCAAAAAAAGTCTCGACGCCCTCTTCAAAATGCCAGTGCCGGCTTTCACATTTAGGACGTCTGTGTTGCAACTATAGCGGTTTTTTAAAAGCTAAAAAACAGCAATATCTTGATTTTTTATGGTCCCTTTTCTTGACTGTTGTGAGCTGTTGTTGTGTCCTAAGTGGCATTTGACTCCCACTAGGGTGTAGTAAAAGGATCCGTCAACGATGGGTGCGGCCACTTGCGGCTCTGGGCCTAAATTGATGCCAAAGATAGAGAAAAACTCGAAATTTCGCATTTTTGCTCTTGATGGCGTTAGACGACGCAGCCTCAGTAAGGTGGATCATAAATTCTGACGCCAAATTTACAGACGAAATGGAGTCTTTGGGATAGTAGAAGACCGTTGACAAGATGGTTTTGATCGGGAAAAAATTTGAACATAAGAGTGGAGGGGGGCTTAAGTTGGGTCTGATGCTCCTAAATAGATTTTTGGGTGATTTCTCGAGAACTAAATGAGATATCAAAACGGCTGGGGTCTTAAAAGTTGCGGAATCGTATTCTCTTTCGATTGATACTACTGAGAGTTTCGTAGGACAACTCTTTGATGGAGCACCATTGCGATTTATCGGCCCGAAAATGTTTGTGAGTCCGGAAAATGTCTAATAACTTCTTTCCTGTTGCTGGTAACCGACTTCCAGATACACCATTCGATTCCTTGTAAAAAAATAATCAAAGACCAATACATTTTGTATGCTCCGACAAGTAATTAAAAATTTCTGAGTCATTTAATGTAGAAAAATATAAAAATTTGAACTGTTTTGAAGCAATGCACAAGATATAAGCATGCTAGCGTTACGGCTGGGGTGTCAAAAAATGCGGAATTTTATAAGCTTTCGTTTGAGCCTAAGACGAGCCCTGTAGGACAACTCCTTCTAAAGGAAACATGTGAAAAACTGCATGAAAAAGCGTCGAAATTTCAGTTCCTGATGAGTTTTCAAGTGCCTTTTCGAAAACAGCCTCAATACCGACCTAAAATACTTATTTTTGGCTGAGCGATAGCGAAGCCTGTTACTCGTGGTTAAAATTTTTTCTGTCTGTCCGGGTTTTGTTGTGTGTGTGTGTTGTCGCCACTCTCTGAACGGCTCAGCCGATCTCGGTGAGATTTGGCACCTTTTTGGTATGTCCTTGGCTCGGCACACGCAAAATTTCACCATCCTAGCCCAACTGGTTCGGTTTTTATAGCCGAAAAACACTGAAAAAACGGCGAAAAATCGAGTTTTCTGTAGGCAGATTGCTTCTGTCTTGAAGAAAGGGGGGTCTGGGGGGCGGAGCTCCCCAGCCCGGACAAGTGAAAAAGTTACAAGGGTCAAGATCGAGTTATCTGCAGATGAAGCAACTCTACCTAGAATGAAGGGGGTCTGGGGGGCAGAGCCCCCCAGCACGCAACAAGTTAGGAAAATCGACCATGGAGAAGCCATTGCCTGCCGAAGGCAGGCTAGCGCCGCAGGCCAAGGTAGGTACGCCGGGCGCGGATTGGAGAAACAGGCAGCGAGACATCGCGAAGCCTGTTACGACAAGACGCGGTCTGGCGTAAACCTACCTTGGTGTAACAACACACAGTTCAGAACTATTTTCTACCAATCTGGCCACCGCAGGATTTTTTTCCGCGTTTTGAGATTTCTGGATCATTGTGCAGCGTAATACCGCGTAATACCGAGTACTCTGTACACGATTTCGTGGAGTGTTTACCCCCTCGCCTCGCCTGAGTAGACTGAAAAAAAAAGTCTAGTAACGATAACCAGAACTGGTACCAAATACAAGGTAGGTTTACGCCAGACCGCGTCTTGTCGTCGCTTGTCTCGCTGCCTGTTCCTCAAATCCGCGCCTGGCGTACCTACCTTGGCCTGCGGCGCTAGCCTGCCTTCGGCAACGGCAATGGCTTGTCCACCGTCGATTTTCCTAACTTGTTGCGTGCTGGGTGGCTCCGCCCCATAGACCCCCCTTCATTCTGGGTAGAGTAGCTTCATCTGCAGATAGCTCGATCTTTACCCCTTTTACTTTTTCACTTGTCCGGGCTGTGGAGCTCCGCCCCCCAGACCCCCCTTTGTTCAAGGCAGAAGCGATCAGCCTACTGAAAACTCGATTTTTCGCCGTTTTTTCAGTGTTTTTCGGCTATAAAAACCGAACCAGTGGAGCAAGGATGGTGAAATTTCGCGTGTGTCGAGCCAAGGACATACCCAAAAAGTGTGCCAAACCTCACCCAGATCGGCCGAGCCGTTCAGGAGGGGTAGTGCGGACACACACAGACAGACAGACAGGAAAAAATTTTCAACCCCACCCCACTGGAGTAACAGGCTTCGCTATCGCTCAGCCAATAAAATTACTTGCACCCAAAAAAAATTTTTTCCCATCACTTGTTTCTTATTTCCCTCATCTTAGCTGTCTCTGTCTGCAAGCATTCAGAAAAGGGAGAAATTTCTAGATCACCACTGCTCCTTAATTTTAGATCAACACAGCCCCTTGTTACCAGGACACTAAAGTAAGAATTTTTTTTGATGCACACTAAAGTTAAGAACAGGGCTTTCTTTAACTTTTATTCAGAAGCACCTCTTAGCAGATATCTCAGATTAAAATAGAAAGCTGTGTGCGGAATCAACTTAGCAAAGTTAACACATTAATTAAGGTGCTGCAATGCCCGCAGGAAACTTACTTTCTGAGAGCTCTCATGAGCACAATATGAATGAAAGTAAGTAATGGAAAACTTTTGGAATAGGGTACTTCGGAGAAAGCCTAGACCGGAAGTCAGCGACAGAACGGTAGAAAAAAAAGAGCATCGCGCGGCCGTGCTGAGCGGTGGTGGGGGTCGAAATCGGCGGCGTGGGGGTGAAGGCGGCGCGCGCATGCTACCCCCACTCTGCCGTTTCCGGCCCCCACCACCGCTCACCACACGTCTTGATAGGAACGGTTAGGGGACCACAAATCGGCGCGGCGCAGGTCCCCTTCCGAGCGCCCCGAAGTCCCCCTCGCCGAGCGCGGCCCAAAGGGCAAGCCCGAAGGTCCACGTGGGTATTCCGAGGATGGGGATACCCCCCGGGCCCTCGGGGGCTTAGTCACTCAAGTAGAGTTGTCGAGCGCCCCCCAGCAGATGTCTCCGTGGCTCCGGGGTACCACCCCTGCCCCACGGCCTCTAGTATTGGTGGTTCGAATACTGGCGAGTTTTTAATTTTTCGGTTTTACCCATCCTTTTTAGTTATTTCAAATTTTAGGTTGGACAATATGTTTTAAGAATATTAAGGTTTGGTTTTATATGGTACGTTAGGTTACGTAAAGTTGGTCAGGTCGCAAGTGACCGAAACTTGTCGCGACTATAGCATGAAATATTTTTAGGATAGAGTAGGCTAAGATCTGTTGACATTAGAAATAGATCTGCCGCGATGAGAATAAGATCTGTAGCGAGCCGTTTGGTTTTGATTAGGATAGGTTGGACAAATTATTTTAAAATATTAAGGTAGCCGTCTGTCCACACCAACTACTACAATTTCCTTCTGACGAACATGCATTTCCCTCTGCAGCAGAATCTAGCTCTGCATCGAAGCCGAAACCTTCCCCTGGCTAATAGATGTTAAAAAATATTAGCTTTTGGGTATTTCGATGATTATGGCTCCTTCGTGCCCCAGGTTGCCGTGCTCGGCACGGCACAAAGTCCCCTTCGGCTCCGGGCCCCTCGGCACTCTTCGGCACCGCTCGGCTCGGCCGCCAGGGGGGCCTGCGCGGCGGCGATTTGTGGTCCCGTATCAAGACGTGACCTGAGCGGTCGCTCCCTCCATTCTATCCCCGGCCGCGCGAGTTTTTGTCCTGTTCTGTCGCTGACTTCCGGTCTAGGCTTTCTCCGAAGTACCCTGTTGAGCATCAAGTTTATTAACTCGTTTAAACAACAAATGTCCATAACTAAAATCAAACCAGCTGAACAGGCGGCTAGGTAATTGTCGGGGAGCGCCGGAGTTTAAAAGGCGCGGGCCCGGGAAAATCGAAGCAGCGACGCGCTGCATCAGCAGTCGCGCCGCCGGCCAGCTTGAAAGGGGCCCCGCGGGCGCGGCAGACGTGTCTCGGCCCCCGACTGGACAACACCTTCCTCAGTGAGTACTTGGTTCTAAC